CTGTGGAACCAGACACGAGATTAATGTGTGAAAAACCTCTTGGGACAAGAAGATAACCTCACACCGGCAGTTTGTACGCAGGTAGCTTGTGAGTAAATGGAGAGAAAAGGAGGATGTGGTGGCAGCCTGTCCCCGACATGCTTCTGTTCTGCTTTTCTGGGACATTGCACAGCCCCTCTGAATGCGTCATATCTGCTTACTGCTTTGAATAGGTTTTACTAAATCTTCTGTCTGCCCCATGTTACTTCATTTGCATTTATTAAAACTAACAACCCTGGAGTTGAAACAAAAGCTTATTTTGTTGCAGTCAAAACCAACACTAAGCTGCCTTTGTTTTCCCTGTCAGGTTGCATTTACATTTATACTGGCATGACTAGACCACTCATTTTCTCTCCTGACAGACTCGATTTTCAGTTATGACTGAAAAAATGACAGCTTTTAATTTTACTACATTCCTATTTCTTGTTTGGTCACAGATACAGCACCGTTTTGGAACAAAAGAATCAAGAAATCTAATATTAGACATTAATTTCCTTTTACATCCAGGGTATCCCACAGCATCTTGCACAATCTGACAACTCAGCTCTCATCTACTGTACTTCTAAATAATACTCTACAGCCCATCATCAGGAAAAATTATTGCTGTTTGCTCCAGTTCTGTTATTGCTTCTGGCTTTAATCTCTCCCTATCATCTGTCTGTTTTGCACTACCCAGGTTTTAATTATCAGTTCTTCTATTTTATAGCCAGTATTATTTCATAGGCAAGCAAAAGGACTATCAGATCCCAGTCTGTCAACAGATTGCAATCCATGAAGATAATTGCAAATATTGTAGTTATTTATATCCTTTATTTTTCTTTTTTTTTTTTTTTATTGCTTGGGGAATGGTCCAACACAGGGGTGTCCACAGGGGCCAGTCAGCCCTGCTCAAGAGTCTTCTGCTGTAGAAACAGCTGCTGGTGGCTTCCTTATTGCTGTGTTTGAAACCCTGCTGGGATGTGACCCACAGGATGACGAAGCTGAGGGTTACTTTTTCTATATTTTCTGGTTTGACTGTTTGCATTTAATGTTTTTTTCCTGCTCTGAGAATGGTATATTCGGGTCTGCTGTAACCGTAATTGCTTTTGTTAACCAGTAATAAATGACGATGTTGGGTCAATGTTTTAAGCCTTTGCAAGCAGCAGCTCATTTTCATTTACGTTAAGGGTGACAGCATACTTATTTATAAATATTTACCCAAAGGACAAAGAAACAAGAAACCAGCAGCTTATTACCATTTACAGCATATTT